GAGTATTGTGTCCAGTTCTGGGCACCGCATTTCAAGAAAGATGTGGAAAAAATTGGAGAGGGTCCAGAGAAGAGCAACGAGAATGACTAAAGGTCTAGAGAACATGAACTATGAGGGAAGGCTGAAGGAATTGGGTTTGTTTAGTTTAGGACTGAGAAGATTCAGGGGGGACATGATAGCCGTTTTCAGATATCTAAAAGGGTGTCATAAGGAGGAGGGAGAAAACTTGTTCATCTTGGCCTCTGAGGATAGAACAAGAAGCAATGGGCTTAAACTGCAGCAAGGGAGGTTTAGGTTGGACATTAGGAAAAAGTTCCTAACTGTCAGGGTGGTCAAACACTGGAATAAATTGCCCAGGGAGGTTGTGGAATCTCCATCTCTGGAGATACTTAAGAGTAGGTTAGATAAATGTCTATCAGGAATGGTCTAGACAGTGTTTGGTCCTGCCATGAGGGCAGGGGACTGGACTCGATGACCTCTTGAGGTCCCTTCCAGTCCTAGTATTCTATGATTCTATGATTAGGGTATTTATCAAGATATGGGAGATCCCAGTTCATAGGCACTGGCTTCTAATTTTCCCTGGGAGTGCTCAGCCCCTACTCAGTCCCTGGCTCTGCTCCTAATTCATCCCTTCCCTTAAGGGCCCATCCCTACCTCTTTCTGTCCTGTCCCCATTCCTCCCCCGGTCACTCCCCATACCTCCTGGAGGCCACGAAACCGCTGATCCAGAACCGCTGTTCTGGAGATACTGGGAGGGAAGAGTTGAGATGGAGGAGTTGGCTGGTGGAGACCACCCGTGGTCAGGAGTGGGGGGAAAGGAGAGGAGCTGGTTGCCGGTTGGTGCTGAATCCCCTGCTAAATATCAGTTCAGTTCTCCACTTTGCCAAGAGATTTGAATAGAGATTCCCACCTTTCAGGTGAGTGTCCCTGGACTGTAAAGTCACGCTCACTGCTTCTGTGGGCCAATAAACATTTAAATAGCTACACAATACAAAGTGGAGCAACAAAAGATTGAGAGAGGCTCACCTCAGAATATCCCGTTGTCCAGGAGTTACAGGTAGGAAACTTCTGACAGAGTGAGAGGATTGAAACAGGGTCTCCCACATTCCAGCCCAGTGCTCTACCTGCTGAGCTTGAGCTTATTATTCGGCAACCTCTTTCTTTTCCCCTTCCTCAGCTGTTTTGTGTATGATTAGATTTTCTGTGAGCACAATTTCTAGATCAGGCAAGATTGTCAGGGCAATACCTATCTCCACCTTGTTTGTGGATCATAATAGATTTTAGACATGAGAGAGGCATCTGGAAGCCCACCTGAGGCAGTAGTATATCTCCCAGAGGCAGAAACTTAAGTACCTACGGGACTTCTACAGTGGAAATGTAAGGGTCTGGTGACTTTAGGCACTTACAGGGTTAGATGGCAGATAAGCAGGGGTTTTGTATGCCAGAATGGTGCCTAATTGTGGGCCTTAGACATGTAAGTCATTTTGTGGATCTGGATCTAAGGGTCAGATTTTAAAAGGTGTTGAGCTCCTAAAGATGCATATAGGTCTCTAAAAGTGCTTTCAGAAGCACCAGTGGAAGTTAAGGGGCCTAGGTACTTTTCAAAATATCATTATGCACCTAACTACCATTAAAAGATTTGGTCCTAACTCTCTGTCTAGTTAGAGGCAAGGGAAGGCCAGCCAGTGTTAACTGTAGCAAACCAGGCCATAGCGAGATCTTAAGGCTAGGGATGTAATAGTGCAGTTGATTAACTGATAAGCAAAAGCTTACAGGTGAATGCTAATAGACTAAAATGCATCCCCCCCGCCACCGGCCAGTTAATTTTTAGCAGGCTGGCTAGCAGCCCGGCACAGTCTCAGCTTGTGCCTGGTCTGGGACTTACCCTTGCTGTGGCTCTGCATTTAAAGTGTATTCGGAGCCAGGCAGGCAGGCAGTCCAGCTCCATTCTGGCTCGTGCCAGGTCCAGAGGTCAGACCCCCCCCAGACAGGGACTACTGTCATCCCGCGCTGATGCTTCTGTATCAGAGGCAACAGGACAGGACAAGAGGCAGCCAGTCTGAAAGGGGAGTTGGTTTTTAAACTGGCTTCCCTCATGGGCCAGCTCTCATCTGGCACAACATGCTGCTGCTTTGGATACAAAGGCAGCAGTGTGGTGTGGCAAAGAGCTCCTCGGGATTAAGGCCGGGGCTCATTACTTGCCAGCTCCACCCCCGGGGACTATAGAATAGTCGCGTAACCAATAAGAATTCATGAGATTAGCCGACTGTTCAATTAACTGATATTTAACATCCCTACTTAAGGCCTGTCTATGGCCCTTCTCCCACTGTACAGTAGAGCACTGTTTCTCAATGGTTTTTTTTATAAAGTACCCTTTTAAAAAAAATTATAAGTACCGCCAGGGACACACATTTGTTTAAACAACTTAATCATAGCCGGGTGGGTGATGAAATTTTGGGGTGTAAAAAATACAAAAATAATGAAGCGCTGTAAAACTTAAAATGAAAATTCAGTTTTCTCCAAATTTCAGTAGTGTTATGTACCCCCCCCCCCATACTTCTGTCAGGTACCCATAAGGGTACTCGTACCACTTGTTGAGAAACACTGCTGTAGAGAGTGTAGGCGACACTGGCCGAACAAATGTAGCAATTACTTTTTCTAAGTATTATGAAGAACCAACTCTGAGGCATGCCTATTCCTTTAATGTGCTGGTTTAATTTACCAAGGGGTTGGGTGGTGGCTTGTATTGTCCTTTATAGGAAGGAAGAAAAGGGGATTTATAACAAGTCTATTGGTAATGCTATATGGAACAGGTCTTCCTTCCCCACCACGCTGCCTTGCTGCTGCCTTACTTTTCCCCTTATGTGTTTCCTTTGGAAGTTGTTGGTTCTTGTGGGAATTAGGGAGGATGAGCTGATTTCATACATACAAGGTCCAATTACCCGAGATGGGCAAACCAGCTCAGCAAAACCACAAGTTTTGGATTTTGTTTTGCAAAGCCAAAATGAAGGGCAAGGCATGTCTCTGCCTCTTTACACATTTAAGTGGCAGTCAGATAAATGATTCTGGTTTGGGTCCATCTCTACTAATTCCACAGCCTGTGATTTGCATTCTCTTTGATTACTGGTGGATGGAGCTGTAGAACCAGAACTTTCCTTGTGTAAATTAGCAAAGCTCCATTGAAATCAATAGTGATACTGATTTGCCTTTCCTGAGGATCTTATCTACAATGCCATTTGTGCTGAGCATTGTTTTGCAGGAAAGAAGGACTATGACAAAGTGTATTATCGGTTCAGGAGCTCTTTTTATTGCTGATGGTAGAAGAAACAAATATTGATAGTAATGCAATTAAAATTCTTTAAATTAAAAACAAAGGGCTTATTTACGTAGAATACATATATATTGTCTGGTGGATGTGCACATATAGCTCACAAAATATTATGATGCATGTAGACTCATCAAAAGGTCTGTCTACCTATTTTATCTGCATGTTTTAAGCAACTGTCTGAATACTGATTTTCCATTTATTGGTGAATAGAAAACATCCCTGTAAAGGAGAAAAATTCAAGAAAATAGGAAATAAAAATATAGGAAAATATCAGGGTGCTTTTTTTTAAAGCAGGTATGATCAGCAATTTAAATTTGTATCTTTCCAGGATTTTTTCAAGATGTATCAGCGTGTGTATCTATTGGGTTTTAATTTACTTCCTTTCCTTCTCTTTTCTTTTAAGGGCACACATAACTTATATGGAGCTCACACATTCTTCTTATGCTTGGAAGATAACAGTGGAGCCTCTTTTGGTGTGTTCTTGATGAATAGTAATGCCATGGGTAAGAAAGACTTCTATGTAACTATTTGCAACTGCTACAGCTTAACATTTTAAAATATTATCTGCTGCATTGCTACACAGTGAACAAAAAGTGAGCTGATGTAAAGGTCAGAATCAGGCATGTGTTTTTAGCACAACTGTACATACAGAACTTGAGAGAAAAGTATATTTAAAAATATTAAGCAGGAGTGTTCTCTCTCTGTTCCTCTTCATCCCTTGTTTCTCTCTTTCTCTCAAAATAAAGATAGCAATGTTAAATATATTTAAGATGAACAATGGCTACTCTAGAACTAGCTTTAGGATCACATATAAGGTTCCACAATATGGTTTTCCCTGGCTGGAGCCTTTTTGAAGATTATAATATTCTGTGTAGGCAGGCCTATCCTTTTTAGAGATGTGATTTTATAATTTTAAGCAACAGACTAATGGAATAGTTTTAAAGCAATATTTAAAATAAGGTCCCATAGCTTAACACATGAAATTCAGAAACTGGCAGTATATACTGGGGGTTGGCAAATGCCAGTTAAATGGTGTAATTATCATTTGAGTGGCTCTTCAACAGGTTCAGTGTTCTGCTAATAGGTCTGGCAGCCTTTTTTACTTTTAAATTAACTAAATCCACTTTGGAGAAAGCAGAGCCACAGACCCTTGATAGGAAGAGGCAGATTGGTGGACATTGACCCAGTCGTGCCCCATATTTTCAGGTGCCCTACTCAATTGTGTATTCTGCATATGGGTAAGGACATCCCTGTATATAGGTGGGTCAGGGCTGTTCCTCATTCTGGCAGTCCAAGTTCAAAAGGTGGGGGTCCACAAAGACTTTAAATATACCTTGCCGCTACAGACATTGGTTACAAAAACTTCCCCCAGAATCACAAATGCACAGATTTGTAGGGAGGAGTAGCTGCCACAATCAAATGATTTTCCCCCCTAAAACTAGGGGCAAACACTTGAATTTTCCCCCAGGGGCATCCCAAGCTCTTCTGCCAAAAGAGAGCTTAAAAAAAGAAAAGAGAAAAACAAGCAGCAGTCTCTGGTAGCTGACCTCTCAGTCTGAGGCATGCAGATACACATAGACAGAGATATCTCCTGTACCTTCCAGGACACAATAGTCAAATCATCACCTTAAAAATGTGATTTTTATTACAAAACAAAAGATACACTTGATAAAGCATACTTGGTTGCTAGATGTTACAGAGCAACTAAGGAAAACAAATTAAAACACAGAAAATCTCTGGGAACAATGCTGAGATGGCAAATGGGAAGGGGAGGCATAGATTCACACAGTGCAGTTCAAACCAAAACACAAAATAAAGAAAATACCCTGACCCTGATCATGTCTAGATTCACTTTTTCCCTTTACGTACTCCCAGTCTTTTCTTGGTTCAGTCTACTTCCATGCCCTGAATTCCTTGGAGGCATGGTAATCCTGCCTGGGTTTAAATTATTCTCTCTGTCAACTCCTGGTTTAACTCTCCCAAAGAAAGCAGGAAAGGAATCTATATGCAGGTCAAATTTCAGGCCACTGTCTTGATTCGTTCTCCTGTCCCCACCTTGACAACACCTTTGCTAGCTATCTGAGTTTAACCCCTTAGCCAAGGATGCTGGTCATCTCTCCTTCTATCCATCACAATGTGTCTGATCACATGCGGTGTATTGAAGGATCAAGACCTCAGTTGATAATGGACATAATGAAAGGATCAAAGTGTTTAATGTGTCTGACCACATGCGGTGTGGTCAGTTGATAATGGACATAATGAAAGGATCAAAGTGTTGCTTTTCATTAGAGCAACATACAGAAAATGTCTGGGCTTATCATTATTTTGAGCATGTGAAGAAGCATAGAAAATCTCATGAGAAAAAGTCTTCTCTCATAGTCTGGTCAAGTAAAACAAAATCTCCATTTTATTTCAAGTCATGATTTAGGATGTCCTTGGGTTTTTTTCTGAGCTCACTTACTTATATTGAATGTGTACATTGCATGGATACATTGACTGTTGAATTAATGTTTTACACTTTTTCTCTATAATTCCTTTTGTGATAGAATTTGCTCTCCAGCCTACCCCAGCAGTAACTTACAGAACAACTGGTGGAATTCTAGATTTTTATATCTTCTTAGGAGACACTCCAGAGCAAGTTGTTCAAGAGTATGTAAAGGTATGTTGATATCAGATGAGGCAGGCTATAAATAGTGTAGGTGCTGATATATTGTGATCACATGTAATCACATCATCTGTATCAGTCATTTCACATTTGTTGTGGTTCTATATTGCAATGAAATATTTCAATGCATGCTTCAAGATAGCACACACCAGCCTGGAAAGAGAGTGCTGCCCTTTGTTCCCTGGCCTTTTTCTCCTAGTGCAGAGATTCCATTAGCAATGACAAACCGACAGTGCTACTTGAAAGCTTTCATAATGCTAATGTATTTTTTGGTCAAACAATGTTAGCAATTTTTTTATGTGGTTTCCCTTTACTCAGGTCAACATCATTTTCAAAGAATATTCTCAAATAAGATAAAATGCCTTTTGAAATTTTATAATAGTTGTATCTGTATCTCTCCCAGGATATTAGAGATATAAGGAGGGTGAGGTGAGGTAATCTCACCTTGTCTCTTTTAAAAACTTACGGAGGCAGTGTAGCCAAGTGGACAGAGCTCTGGACCTGGGAGTTGAATGCTGGATGACGTTGGACAAATCACTGGAGCATAGAATCATTCTCCCTGTTTCTGTGGCCTAATTGATATTTGATTCAAGGCAGAACAGCTTCAGTGGGAGAGATGGAGGGAGACCCATATCACACTATCCCATAGTCCAGTGGTTTCATTGTTCACCTGAGAGATGCATTAACACAGATCCGCAATCAAATTTCTTATCAGGCAGAGGGGAGAACTTGAACTGATGATTTCCTGTATTCCCAGGTTGTGTCTACACTAGGCCACTTATTCCGGACGTATTCCCAGGTTGTGTCTACACTGGGCCACTTATTCCGGAAAATCAGCCGCTTTTCCGGAATAAGCTGCAAGCTGTCTACACTGGCCCTTGAATTTCTGGAAAAGCAACAACGCTCTACTGTACAAAATCAGCCGCTATTCTGCTCCCGCTCGGGCATAAGTCCTTATTCCGGAACACTGTTCCGGAAAAGGGCCAGTGTAGACAGCCGAGTAGTCTTTTCCGGAAAAAAGCCCCGATTGCGAAAATGACGATCGGGGCTCTTTTCCGGAAAAGCGCGTCTACATGGGCCAGAGATGCTTTTCTGGAAAAAGGGCTTTTCAGGAAAAGCAGCCTGCCAATGTAAACGCTCTTTTTCCAGAAATACTTATAACAAAAACTATTCTGTTTTAAGCATTTCCGGAAATTCATGCCAGTGTAGACACAGCCAATGTGTGTGGAATAAAGGTTATAAGGGAAGGCTGCCTCCTCCCCTCCGCAGCACTCTTTTGTGCTGAGGTAAGTGATCTCTGATCATACTATGGGATCGGGTCCCAGATTTCTGGTAGGCTGAGAAGCACCTATCTTCTCCTGGTTCATGGATTGTTAGTAGATATTGGTATCTCCTTGCAGCCTGGATTTAGACAATCATCTCTGTGAGTGGGTTAGGGCTTAAGAAATACCAACTTGGTATCTCTCACTGTCTGCCTTAGGTAGCACCTCCCCTATTGTGCTGGCTTTGTGGATCACATTTTAAGGCACCTATAGCTCCCCATACATTGCATAGGGAGCCCAGGTGCTTAACAAAGGGTTGGTTTACAATACATAGTTTGGTCAACGTAAAGCATCTTATGTTGACTTATGTCAGTGTTTGCACTACAGCCTTCCTCCCACTGATGTAAGTGCCCTACAACACTGCCATGAAAACTCTACCTCCACCTATCAAGGTAAGGCTGTTAGTATAGATAGGATGGCACAATGTCTATGTTTGTGTAGACACTGTGGCTTTGTCTGCATGAAGAAATTATTTCAAAATAAGTTATTTTGAAATAATAACGCCTGAAATAACAATTTCAGTATAAGCGTTATTCCTCATGGCTATGTCTACACAGCAGTGTTATTTCGGAATAAATAACATAGTACAGTTCTACACACAAGCAGTTATTTCGACATAATGTTGAAATAATGTTGAGCTGGAGGACTGCTTACTCCGACTCCTATAATCCACATTGTACAAGGAGTAAGGGAATTGGGGGAAGAGTGCTCTATTTCAAAATAACTGCTGTGTGGACAGCGCCAAAAGTCAAAATAAGCTATTTTGACTTTAACAACACAGTGGCTGTGTCTACACTGGGCCACTTATTCCGGAAAATCAGCCGCTTTTCCGGAATAAGCTGCGAGCTGTCTACACTGGCCCTTGAATTTCCAGAAAAGCAACAACGCTCTACTGTACAAAATCAGCCGCTATTCCGGAAAAGCTACGCTGCTCCCGCTCGGGCATAAGTCCTTATTCTGGAACACTGTTCCGGAAAAGGGCCAGTGTAGACAGCCCAGTAGTCTTTTCCGGAAAAAAGCTCTGATCGCGAAAATGACGATCGGGGCTCTTTTCCAGAAAAGCGCGTCTACATTGGCCACAGATGCTTTTCCGGAAAAGCATCTGTGGCCAATGTAGACGCTCTTTTCCAGAAATACTTATAACAAAAACTATTCTGTTTTAAGCATTTCCGGAAATTCATGCCAGTGTAGACACAGCCTATTAGTATAGCTCAAATTACATAGCTTATTTCGAGTTTTGCCCTGCTGTGTAGATGTGCCCTGTGATAAGCAGGAGTTATTATTTTGAAATAAGCCCATTATTTCAAAAGAATTTTGAAATAATGGGCTTGCTATGGTGCTTGCCTTGTTATTTCAAAGTAACTCCTCAGTGTAGACATGCCTTGTGTTACTTACATGGGCTGTTGGCCATCTTGTCAGTTTCACAACTCCTGGGCAGCTGGACCCTGCTGGGAACATTTCAGTGCTGAGTCTAAGTCTGTCTATGGATCTTGGCACAAGTTCTATTAATATTACTTTCACACAGTAACACAGTTCTAAAATTCTGATTTCTCATATGCTCCAATTTTTTTAAATACACTCGCTACCCATTTGATAGTGAAAATTCTTCCTCTATAGTTTGTCTTTATGACTTATGATCTAATATCCCTGTCGAATAATTAATTGGTTGCTTCTCAAATCATAGTTTTTATTGTTATAATTTGTACTGATAGTGCCCAAAGGCATAATTCAGGAACAAAGCTCCCACATACTAGGTGCTGTATGAGCACATAATAAAAGACAATCTTTACCTGAAGAATTTACAGTCTAGTGTAAGACAGGAAAGAACAAGTGAATGCAAAATAGAATAAGGACTAGTGGGGAGGTAAGATGAGCCACAGGATTATGTGGTCCCATAGTACTAGAAATGCGCACATCGTCACTGATTCAAATAATTTACTTTTGGAGTTCTAAAAATTAAATATGCGAAAACTTTACAGTGTAACTTTGTAATATCTGTTATGATTTCAAGTGTTAGACCTGAATGTTTATCAGAGTAATTTATAAGTAATTTCAGAAAAATAAAGAAATAGGTAATCTTGCATTGACAAATGACATACAACTAACTTCATTTTCATTTCTTAACTTTCAGCTAATAGGAATGCCTGCAATGCCTTCATACTGGAGTCTTGGATTCCAACTTAGTCGCTGGAATTATGGCACTCTCGATGAGTTAAAAGCTGTGGTACAAAGAAACAGAGAAATTGGGATACCTTATGTAAGCAAAAGATTTTTGGGGGATGCAAAAGGGTGCTGAAACCGGACAGCAATAAATAATATTAGGATCTATTTTTATAATCGTAGAGTAGCCTATTATAAGTCAGTTCTTGTTCGCATAGAAACTGTTGTTAATAAACCTTATAGAGACTTCAAAATCTTTTAAGACTTTTAATGTTAAATTGATAGTCAGAATGGGGGAGGTTAGAGTTGTTATTTGTATTACAGTAGCTCAAAGGGTATGTCTACACAACTCAGGCTTGTGTTCAAAATAGCTGTGTAGACATTTTGGCTCTGGCTTTAAAGTTGGGGATGGGGGTGGACTTCAGAGCCTGAGCCACAAGTTCAAAGCATTGTCTGCATAATTATTTTCAGGCCTGTATGCAGGAATTTCTGTGGGGAGGGTACTTTTTTTTGTAAATGTGGACCGCAAGGGTGCACACGCCCATGCTCCACCAAGTAAGTGTGCTCCTGCTGGCCAGGGAGAGGCAGGAGGGGCGCTCTGCCTGAGCCTCACCCTGGCTTCAGCTGGCCAGGAGAAGGCTGGGACTGATTACCCCCTCACCCAGGCATGAGGCCCAGCCTGTCCTCTGCCTTACTCCTTTGGGAAAGAGGAGTCACCCCCAGCCTTACCCCAGATGGCTGGAGCATGGGGGAGGGAGGCTAAGGCAGTGTGCCGTTCCTGCCTTCCCCTTCGCACCCATTCCATGTATGGGCTTACATTAAACAGTAGAAAGGCTGTTGGAGTCATTACATCTTATTAAGAATAAATTACATGGCAAACCAGAAAAACTTAATTAAAAAAAGTTATCACGACAGCATAAATGAATAAGTTTGTTATCAGAATGGGAAGTTTGTGCCCAAGAATTTTCTTTTTAGCATTATTTTTAAAGATATGTGTGAATTTTATGAACTGTAAGACTAAAATCACTGGTTTGAGCCAACTTAATACTGGCAGGAACAATATAGGTGTAAATCCCACACAGAAATGGTGCTACACTGCAGCCTTAGTATGACATAAACATACAAATGTTATTCTACTAGTCTTGGGCCTCCCTTGACTGGAGGCTGTCACTTGTGGTCATTTGTGTGGCTCTTTCGTGGTAAGACAAAAGAGGGGAATAAAATCAAACACTTTTTCACCTGTGTTCTGCAAGATAAGATTTGAATCTTGCTCTCCAGAAAAGAGAGGTTAATTCACTTATGTTCCACTTTCCAAAAATATTCACTTATTTTGAAGTACTTAACTTAAGGAACTAAGACTGTAAGTGGAGAACCCAAGAATGGAGGTACTCAAAATTAGTGGATGCTAATGAAAATCTGAGTGTCATACACTATCATGCTTCCTTCCAGATATCTTTAATGTACCACCTGTACTGATTTGTATTTTCTTTATGACTTTTCAAGATGATGCATCACACTTTTTTCTTAAGTTTAACCAATCATGCCTGCTTGATGGTTGAGGTGTAGTAATAATCACCTAGTGAAAAAAAATAGATTTGTCATAGACAATAGAATAATTATTTTATAGCGTTAACCGTGTTTTAACTTTTGGATGTTTATCAAAATTAGTGTTGAGTGGTACACACACACACACACACACAGAGGACTAGATTGTGCCATTGAGGCACGCACACACACAGACACACACACACATGACTAGATTGTGCCACACAGAGGACTAGATTGTGCCATTGAGACCCAGCCTTATTTTGGCTGCAGAGCTGCTCTGCTTCATATGAAGCACTAGGAAATCAGCCTGAGTTCCCTAATGAGTACAAGTCTGTCAGGCACAGGTCACTCCCTCGCTGCAGAGCTCCCCATCTCCACCTCACTTCTGAGGGAGGAGGAGATGTGCCGAGCTTCTGCCTTTGCTTGAGCCTCCCATTCGCTGTACTCTGGCCAGCATGGGAAAGGCAGAAATCGTGCATTGCTTGAGCCTCCCTCCCCTGCTGGGTACAGAGTACAGGCTCAAGCAAAGGCAGAAGTCTGCGGCTTCTTTTCCTCCCTCAGGCAGACCATGGGGGAGTGCATTTGCACCCTTTGCACCTCCCCCCCTCCCACAAATGGCCTGATTTTAGTGCCATCCATGAGCCTTCTGTGTAGACCTGTCTAGTGAAGCTCAGATGCTGAATAAAAATCCTAGTTGTAATCAGTACACTTTGGTGCTGTTTTAATATGAAATAGACAAAGGAAGCACTGTTATCCCCATTTTTCAAATAGGAAAGTGAGAGACATGCTTACATGAGGTAGTACGCTCAGAGCTAATACCTAGCCACTTGCTGCTCCTTTGTAGAGCTGCACCAAAGTGCGTTCCACAACACATTCCCTGTTATTGCACAGAGCTGTCTTTCCCTGCAGTGTCAGGCGCACAGCCTTTACAGTGGCCTGTTTTGTAAAGGGAGAGATCTTAAAAGGCAGAGATGGCAGCTGGGCACCTAAATCGATGGCAGCTGGGCACCTAAATCGCATTGAATTTATATGGTAGTTCAGTACAAAACTTATTGTCTCTCTGTAATAAAATAACAAACATTAAGCTTGTTTCAGAGTAAACAGAATATAATAATATCAAATACTCAGTTCCTAGGCTATTGTTTCTAATGTACAAAATGAACTACATTATCTTTCAGGAAATTCAGTACACTGATATTGACTATATGGAGGAGAAGAAAGACTTTACTTATGACCAAGTGAAGTTTAAGGACCTTCCTAACTTTGCTGTGGACCTGCATAACCATGGACAAAAATACATTATTATACTGGTAACAAACTATTTTAACTATTTCATTTTATTGCTGAAAAAAGGTTATTGCAATAATTACATGTGTACAATAATGGTTTATTATGTTTTGTGTAGATTGTATGTACTGTATATATCTATTGCCTAATTCTGCCATGCTTTTCAAAAATGGAAGAACTTACTATCTTTCCCTTGTGTTTATTTTTATTAGGACCCTGCCATTGCCATCACTCCCCTGCTTAATAATACTCCATATCTTTCCTATGACAGAGGAGAGAGCAAGAAAGTGTGGATAAATGAACCAGATGGAAAAACACAGCTCATTGGAGAGGTAACTAGCTATTGATGCAAATTACAACCCCTTATATCAGTAATATATGTTGTCACAAAAGGTAAGATTGGGTCACTGCCAAAATTCCCTCTTAATTTTTTCTATTCAGGTGCAGAATAAACTTTATTATGTCCCCCAAAGCACATGTGGATGTGCACCACAAGTAGAAACACATGCTAGCTGCTGCTAGCTGTGGTGCTCTGTATATCAGCTGGATGACATTTGAGTCTTTCCTAAGTGGCTGCCCAAGCACATAGCTTACAGGGAACACTGCCTTCGTTACAAACTCCATTTTAAAAATTTTCAGTAAAATTAGCAGTTGATGGAAAAAAGTTTTATAAAAGTGTATCTAAGAATGTAAGATATATTATTTTTTATTTTTTAACCCTTTTATTTATGCTGTTATATGTTTAAAGGAGGGAAATGGGGCGATTTTTCTGAGCCACAAAGTACAGATTGGCAATCAGCTCCTATTGATTTTCAATGGTATTCTGACAACTATCATGTTGGAAATAGAGACCATAATGTAACCAAAATTGACCAAAATTTAACATCCCAATGGTGGGAAAAACACCTCAGCAGCCCATCGCTGCATGGAAACTTTTCAAAGACATCATAATAAAGGCCCAACTTAAATGTATACCCCAAATTAAAAAACACAGTAAGAGAACTGAAAAAGTGCTGTATGTCTTACGCCGGATACCCCGGTGCCCCGCAAATGGGACATCATGGGCCAGATACAGCAGCTTGTGGCGATACTTTTGGGGGACTACCAGCTGCCACTGGAGCTCCCATACCCCCCTTTCTGGCAGGAAGCCATTCACGGTACAGGAATCCCTTCTCCCACGGGAATCTCTCCTGGCTGCCTCTCCCGAGGTGCTGAGCTGCGCCGCGCCAAGGCAAGTCTGGTCCGTCAGCTGCTCAGCATCTGTAAGGAAGGATCCGACTGCACCTCAGCCTGGAATTCTGCAGCTGGGGCAGGGATCGAAACCTGTTCCCCCCCTTGCCTGGGTCCGGGGCTCTAGGTCTGCTGGGCCCCATTTCTGCTGGGATGGGGCCCTGCATTAACAAACAATTAAAAGAAGCATTGAGAGATAAAAAGATATCTTTTAAAAAGTGGAAGTCAATCCTGGTGAGAAAATTAGAATGGAGCATAAACTTTGCCAAATATAACAATATAATAAGAAAACCCAAAAAGGAGTTTGAAGAACAGCTAGCCAAAACATCAAGGCTACGTCTACACTAGCATGATTTTCCAGAAATGCTTTTAATGGAAAAGTTTTCCGTTAAAAGCATTTTCGGAAAAGCGCGTCTAGATTGGCAGGATGCTTTTCTGCAAAAGCACTTTTTGAGGAAAAGCGTCCGTGGCCAATCTAGACGCGCTTTTGCACAAAAAAGCCTCAATCGCCATTTTCGTAATTGGGGCTTTTTTGCGGAAAACAAATCTGAGCTGTCTACACTGGCCCTTTT